GTTGAAGTCCACTCATCTTAAAGTGGCCAAGTTTGGACAACACTGATGTAGATGTTTCAAGAGAGGTCAGGTAGGTCAGCTTCAGGTGACAAAGCAGCAAGGCTTTTTCAGGAATAGCTGTGACCAGCTGATTCGCAGACCTGCAGTCTTAGCGGCAGAGCTCCTGCTTTGTCCATAAAAGGCCCTTGGGTTCAGTTCTTAGCATCCAGACTGAGACCTCTTTTGGCAGGTTATGGGAACCTCCTGTGCTCGAAAACTTGGACAGTCGCTCTCCATCAGACAAAATCAGCTTCCCCCAGTTGTGTGCATTGAGCTGAGTTGCCTGGCAGTTTGAGGAGTTGCGGAGCCAAAATTCTGGAATGCAAACGCTATCCTACATAGATAATCCAACTAAATAGGAAGAATCGTAAATGCCCTGAGTCTCTGTTGCATCGTGATAACATAAAATCAGTCCTAACTCATGTACTACACAGCACGTGCATTCTTTTTTTGCTGCTCTTGAAGGTGGTTTTGGCATATTTTCTTCTCGTTGCTTAGAGCTGTGGCGAAAAAGTACCCTTCATTCCAATACAGTGCAGAAATTGGGCTCAACACCTACGTGTCGATACACATTCCCTTTCTTCCTGAGGCGGAGAGGCGCAAGACACGAACCGTGGCTCGCACTTTTTGTCCTGAGTTTGAGCATCACATTGAGCTCCCCTGCAGTCTTGTGGTCCAGAGGAGCAGCGGAGAAGCGTGCTGTCTCGGAGAGCTCTTGCAGCTGTCGGAGATGGTCTTCCGCGTCTACCACAAGCCCCTGAACTCAGGTACCACAAATGCATTGGGTCCGGTTGTCAAACTTCACAACAAGCCCAGATGGTGAACAGAATGGATTCAGGGAACTGATGCATCTTCAGTTGTGAACGCAGCTGTGCTTTTGCACAGCTTCCCTTAACCTGATTGAGATACGAGAGGAGGCATTTCCAGAATGCGCTCTTCTTGACTGGCACCAAATGGCCTTCGTGGCACTGCCAGGGTGCTCTAATGGTTTCAGTTCCCCTGCCTGTAGTGTAAAGGAGCGTTCGGAGGACAGCTTATTGTATGCTTACTAGTAACAGGAAAACAGCTAGCTGGTCTAGGTTCTAGCCAGTCCTGGCACCCAACTGCATCCAGCATCTCTCTGAGTATATTACTTTTGTTCCTTCCTACATACCTATAGATTCTTTCTGATTCTTATATAGGTTCCCACTGAACTTCTCTTCTGAGAATTGTTCCATATCCATGACACTATGGGCTCACTCACAGTGCTGGGTCTTCTGAATCGATGACAAGATCCTTCCTATTCCAATGCTGAAGGTTCAAGACTGAGATTCATTTATTCCCTGGATCTGTGATGCAGCTTTCTTGTCACCTTTTTAAAGAGAGGGTCCAGGGGGCCGGGCTGGGCTTAGTTTTCATGTTTTTCATTTACATTTGGAGGCTGTATTGTTGTATGACTGAGTACCACAACTGCTTCTGCACTGGACTTCACACAACAAACTTTGCTTTACAAGGCACTAGATCTTCTTTTTTAAAAATAAAAACATCTGAATGAAATGAAACGAAATACAGTCAGGTAGGATTTGGAGCCGGTGTGTAGCAGGGGAAATGTCATTGGACCCCAGTACTCCTTCTGTTGGGAATCTAGGACTACTCTATATTGACACCCTCCAGGGGGATGAATTCAGATTATTATGATGGAAAGTCTGCATCATAACCTTGATTTACTCTTTCAGCTCCAAATGCATCTCAAGCTGTAAAGGATTGCCTGCTGGGAACTGTCACAGTTCCTACCAGAGACCTGTTGATTAGAAGATCAGGTAAAGACACCATGTCACACTATGAACTCTACATTTGTCATGAGCCTGGTGCGCAACCTGGAGCAGGTGGCATCTGTGGCCAGGAAGGTCTTTGTTCAGGTTCACCTGGTGTGCCAGCAGCACCCTTCAGACAGTTACTCATGCCCTGGTCACCTCATGATTGGATTATTGCAATGCGCTCTACATGGGGCTGCCCTTGAAGACCGTCTGGACGCTACGCCTGATTCAAAATGCAGCAGTGAAACAGTAACGTGCAGTAAAATGCAGCGGCGCACACAGCGCCACTGTCAGCATACCCATGTATCACCACTGCTGCACGAGCTGCATGGGTTGCCAGTCAGCTTCCGAGTGCAATTCAAGATGCTTGTTGTTACCTATAAAGCCCAGGCTGTCTATGTGGTTTTATGTTTTATCTGTTTTTATGGAGTTTTTTGGTTTTGTATGCCGCCCAGGGTTCATCAGAGTTGGATGGCTATAACAAATTTGAATAAATAAATAAACAGTACAAAGTTAAAGATAGCATTTTCTTTTTATTTTACAAAAAGTCAGTAATGACTTGTTCTCTTTGTGTTTCCTCACAGGTCTTAGAGGTTGGTACCCCATAATTCTCCCAGAGGACCTCTTGCCTTCTCGGTGTGCAAATGTCATGCAAAGCATAGTTGGAGGCTTGGACATTTCAGTTGCATTTGTTCACTCTGGAGACCAAGAGCGTGTTCTAGATGCTGCTAACCTTTTAGGCTGGAGTTGGAAGGAAATCCATACCAATGATATGTTGGAAGATAGTGAGAGTGAATGTCAATCCCCTTCAACACCAGTCCATGTGACTATTTCTACCCCTAGGCTGTGGCTGCCAGTACAGTGCACGTTACTTGCAGGACAAACACGCTTAAGTAAAAGTATCTATTGCTACCTTCGCTATAAATTATATGATCAAGAAGCCACCTGGACTTCACTCAGGAGGCCAAAATTAACTGAAGATGAGAAGCATGTGACTGTGACATTTAAGAAACCCAAACAAATGGAGCTTCAGTCGAGTCCAGCATTATTATGGTACTTCAGGGAAGAAAAACTGGAATTCCAGGTGTGGCGAGCTTATGGGAATGACTGCAATATGGAAAGACCACTGGACACTGATCGCTTGATCGGATCAGCATATGTGGACCTGGCACCACTTACGGACAGCTCACGAAAGAAGAAAACAGTTAGTGGTATGTTTATAGCAGTTTTAAAGGCAATCGTTAGCCTGGTTCCTGGGGGTATTCAGAAATGATTTTGAATTTGTGCAGGTTCAGCACCTCTCTCTTACTCATTAAAGCAGTCACATCTTTGGACTGGAAAAAGACACGGTTGCTTTAGTGACTAGCAGAGAGATGTAGCATGGCAGCCCTGGTGGTCACCAATTCCGCATTGTGTTTTATTTACTCTTACTGAAGTATCTGAGGGTAGCTATTACATATATCCTCTGTGTCCGGCATATTTAAACAAATGAAATTGGTTGTCACAAATTGTGGCAATGGCTTTTCAGAGGACTGTGCAAATTTTTGAAGGAGTGGTTTTATCACTGTCTTTGATATCCTAAAACAGGTGAGGGATAGGTCTCTGTTTCCTGCTCATGAGCACCTGAGCAAAACAAAGTGCTGGATTAAGATGGGCATTGACCTGCTCCAGCTGGCCTCTTCTCAGGTGCTTATGGCATTATGATGTCACTGGAGAGGACAGAGTTGAAATTTTATGACCCAGATTTTTCCTGTGGGGTATTTTAAATTCAGCCTGATTTGGGGGGATTTGGGATTTTCTAAAAGATGCAACGAACACTTTAAGCCTCTGCAAGAATTAAGCTGCCCCTTTACCTCTTAAATTTGCTAAAACAGGGTGGGGGGGAAGTTTCAGAATTTGGGGGTTCTGGGGCAATGGGGTTCTCATTGAGGCCAGAGATTCTCCACCTCTGTTCCGTATGAATCCCAAATTCAGTCCCCGTCAGTTTTAGTGCAAAGGGTCAGGATCAGGTGACAGGGTCTGCCTGACTCCCAGGAGAGAAGCAACAATAAAAGCACAATCTGGTTCAATTTAAGGTAGATTCTACAGCACCATGAACCATGTTTCTGCCCAAACAATGGGAAAGTAGACCTGCTTTTTACCTTTAGAAAACGAAGCAGCTTTTTCTCAGAGGGGCCGGATCTGCATTTAGATTGAGCCTCACTGCTCTCTTTGTTACAGGTGTCTTTCCCTTGTTCCGACGAAATGCTGCCAACTTGGGGGGAGCTGCGCTACGCATTCACGTTGCAGTGACTCCCACTGATCCATGCAGCGGACCTGGGAACACTGAAGATGGCAGGGACGGCAGCAGCAGCAGTGATGAAGAAGAAGAAAAGAAGGGAATGGAGCAAGACTTGGAAGTCCACTTGGAACCAAATCCTTCTGTGGCAGAGACCCTCAGGGAGGAATCTTCTGTGAACGATCTTGAGAAGACGTTTGCTGTTAGTATTCTTGTGGAAAGAGCCATGCACTTGAGCTTAAAAGGTAAGCAGACCTCCGGATTTACAATAGTAGGTGAAGTCTGCAATCCTCTTAGGATATAACACTAACCCTAACCTAACCCTCTTTTTTCTTTACACTGTGGCCTTCAAATTCATCATCTGAATGGCCTACAATATAATTTTTTAGAAATATCAGAAAAGCTCTAATCCATTCGGATAAGCTTTAAAACAATAGCTCTCTAAAAACAAAAAGAACTGGGAAAAATTCCAGTCCTTTTTGTAAAAATTCTGGGTTTTTTTTTTTCTGGCTGCCTCCTGACTTACTTGTTTAGAGAGCAAAATGTAGCTGTTATTCTCATTTGCAAAGTCACACACGTTCTTGGATTGAGAAGCTACTTATACCTTTGTAACAATGCTTTGCTAGAATTAAATTATCTTAATTTCAAAATAATTACTTGTGGCGTTAAAGCTTCGTGCGTGATCTGTTTTGTTGAATGATCCAAAGGCAGGTGGCTTAAGTTATTGCCTTCTTCTAGAAATAGGCTGATCTGCAAATTCCCCAAAGATTTCCCAATAGACCAAAAAAAAAAAATTCTGTGTTTTAAATACATTCAGATTAAATATTCCCATGAGTCCAAAATATTTGCCTATAAAAGAGTCTGCCTGCTGCATCTCAGCATGTGTACCTGCCATTGTCTATTCAGTTTCTTCAAAACAGCCTTCGTGAGGAATGGATTAATTCTGGTATTGTCTGCCACGGTTGAGTTTGGATCGGTATTTATGCTCTGTTCAGCAGAAATAGCTCAGACCATTATTCGTTCTTGAGGCAGTCCCAAGTCCATTTTTTGTAATTTAACATTTTGCAGTTCTAACTGAATTGCCACATTTATTCTCTCTTCATTTGGAAGTGTGAAGTCTTGATCTTGAATAGGAATACATATTCTCAGCCTATTTCAACTAAGAGTTGTATGATTATCTTACAGCTTTTTCAACAGAGCAGCATGTGAGTTGCAGCAGAGAATGAAATCCGTTTTTGGTAGGCTATGATTATGATAAAACAATCAGTAAAAGAATGCAAAATTCAAGAGTTTTCAGTGCAGCCAAGCTGGAAGTAGAAATGGGCAGCCATCAAATAACCCGTTGTTTTGCTCTTGATTCTGGTGACTTTGTTCCCAGAATTGCCTCCCACCCAGAATGTTTTCCTGACCCTTGTGTTCTGCACTCCAGAGTGCAGGCCGTTTCCCAAAAGGTGTCCTTACTGTTCCATCCTGATGCACACCGACTTTGTGCTGAATGTCAGCTAAACTAGATTAAACCAGTTAACCAATTAGGCTTCTCATATTTTCACAATAAATGCTTTTGACAAACAACAGCTTCAACCCTGGTGTGGCTTGAAAGCAGGTTAAAGAACAGTCAGAAAATTATTTCCAGAGCTTCCTGCCCTAGCTCAAAGTACCACTGCCCTCTTCCTTGCACTGCTGACAGATTCTTCCTGCAGATTTTTCTGTCTTTCAGGAAGAGCTACTAAGTGCTTCAGCAAATTCTGTTTTTAAAAAGATGTTTCTCAAAGTGTTAAACAAGACCAGACATTTAGAATTTGCAGCTCAGCTTGAATCAGAACTAATGAATGGGACTGGTCGTCACACAGGGGCATAAAATGGGGGATCAGAAAAGAAAAGGCTGTATATATTCATAACCGAAGTTTAAATTTAAGCAGGAATGGCTCCCTCATATACGATATATCACAGAGCAAGCCAGGTTTAGACATTTGGAATATGGTTTTTAAGAAAAAGAGAGACCTTTTTCAGTCTAGTTCAACTAAGAGTCTATGATTGTATTTAACTGCTTCTAGTTAAAAATAACTGGAGCTTTTTCAACAGAGCAGTGTGCGAATTGCAGCATTACATAAAAAGATTTAAATAAATATAAGCAACAATCTCCAATATTTCAAGAAAAGTACAAATACTTAAGTAGTGATTAGTGGCTAGGGACAATAGAACGGAAAGGAAAAATGAGCTATCAAAAGTTTTTAAGATTTTTTTTTAACATCTTACTTTACATTTTTACTTTGTTTCAGTATCTCACTTTTCTGTAACTATATCCTTTATTATCAGCTTGAAAAATGCATAGTGACTATACGTTTGTAATAAAGTTTCCTATTTTTGAAAAAAAAAAGTCAAGATGGCAGGTTCAATTGTGCTTTTGCAGCCGCCATTTTGACTTTTTTGACACCCCATCTGCCCCAATGAGGCCTGTGTTGCCATGGACCACTTATTTGGGGCAAATATGCTGCAGTGTATATTATTCAAGACCATAGCTATAGAATCTTATTTTAAAGTGGCCAAGATTATGCAGTCAAAACCAGAAGTGGGTATATTTGCTTTATTTTTGTATACAGTGATAACTTTGTTGGACAAGGATGACAAAAATGCATTAGTTAAAAGTGCAGCGGGCAGGTACCAGAAAAGGATAGCCATTGGGAGACAGAGGAGTCGGAGGGCCATCCTGGGTATAAAAGCAAAATTGGTGTCCTGGGGAGAGGTTTGCTACTATTTCCAGGGGTTGTGCTCTTCTGTGGCACCCTGGTAACAGTGGGGGAGAATGTGCGATGAGATACGACAACGAAAAGAAAGAAGGTGGTTGTTTTTTCTCCCAAACGTGACAGGCATCACATCTGAAGGAGAAGGAGAGAGGAAGAGAGAGGCACGACCCAGTAAGGGCAGAGGTAGTTTGCTTTCTGCACCATGTAAGGATAGCAGGGCAGAATTTAGCCGGCTAAGAATGGTAACTTTCATTTTCCAAAGAAATTTAAACTCAGAATGTTGCTAGTCCTTTCAGGTTCTTTAGTATAGGCCACGTGCAAGAAACCAGAATCACAAAATCATTCCCCACCCAGATCTCTTTCACCTTAAAGCAGTTTTGCAGCTCTTCTGGTCACTGTGCTCTGCAGAGGCCGTTCAGGTGAAAAGGCTTTTGTTTCTTTGTCATGAAGTTGTCTTAGAATGTCATAACTGCAAACTGATTCTGAGTTAATTGGTTTCAGGGAGTCCTCTTGCTGAACGGGGAGTAACTTCTCCCAGTAGCTATGTATCTTTTGTTGCCACTGACGTCGATAATCCTATTACCACAGAAACAGTGGAAAATACAGACTCACCTGTTTGGGATTTTCAGCAACAGACTAGGTATGTAAGAAAAAGGTCCTCTGAAATCAAAGGTCTTCTCAAGTGACAGCATTGGTCTACTGGCACAGTTGCCAGAATCAAAGCAGGAAAAACTTTGGTGGTAAAAGAATGGGAAGTATCTCATCTGAATCCTTGTTTTCCATTTTCTGTTATCAAGCTTTGTGTAGCCTACAAAACAACTTATTTTTATTTTTCAGAGCTCCTAATTTTGTACCTCTGTTGAACATACAGTGGGGCAAAAAAGTATTTAGTCAGCCACCAATTGTGCAAGTTCTCCCAC